TGTTGTTAGATGCAATGTCCTCGGTGTGTCCAGTTTCGGCGTTGAGGCTGACAATAGCGGCAAGGTAAACTTTGATTGACTTGTAGACTAGACCCTCCATGGCGAGACGTGTGACGAATAGAGTGGCAAGCCGCGGTGTCACGGGTACGGGCGTTAACCTATGTTGTTGGCAGAAAAGACGGTATCTGGACTGACCTGATGAATATGTGCGTCGTGTTGCTGCCGAGAGGCGATGGAGCATGAATTGGTGGGCTTGTTGCTCAAGTCTAGTTACTGTTGTGGATAGTAGCTGTCGAGGTCTGGCAGTGTTACTGGCACCAGTTAATGGCGAAACCGTTTCATCTGCAAACGAGACAAAGAGTCAGCAATTGAATTGTTAGTACCACGAATATGTGCTATCATGACGTGGAAGTTGCCATTAGCTGCGGTGAAGAAGATGGCACGCACGTACAAGCGACATGATGCGTTGACATCGCGAAGAGCCTTTTTTCCAAATGTTGACGATTGCCTCATTGTCACAGTGAAACATAGCACAAACTGGGGAATGATCTATAAAGTAAATACGAGTTACATAATCAAGGGTGGAAGTGAGCTAGCTGACTGATAAAGGTCAATGGAGTGGGAGACAAAGAGTGCACATTTCAGTGCGTTAACATACAATTACAAATGTTTTGTAATAGTCACAAATAATAGAATTGGAGTACAAATAACTAGAGAACAGTGTGTGGAATACATGATAGTCTTGTGAAGTAGATTCAACTTCTGAATCTAGTCATTGTTACAATGATACTGCCATTCATACTTGATCTACACGAGTCTATTTTTTGCAAACAACTAAATGACGACAATACCTAAATTAATATTAAATATTGTCCAAAACATTTTCTTTAACTTATTTTGTGGCAACTAGTATAAGTGCGTATATATTTTATTAGGTAATAAATTTGTTTTTTCTTCCAGTTCTGCTTTGCTTACAGAGGGGCTATCAATCCACAGTTCAAACTGAATGTGGCATGGACTGACATATATTCACAACGTAAAGAGCGTCATGTATGGTATGATTTTGATGATGATTTTGTTGTTTCATCTGATGCAGAGTAAGTACTAGTAGAATAATTTTTTTTTTCTTTTCGAAAACAGGGGCGCATGGATTGATCTCCATGCCTCGGCCGATCACATTCAAACTTCACGCAAACATCTTATTGTAATGAATGCATTTCCAGACCTCCTTAACAAATCATGTTCAAACGTTATTTATACATGTACATCAATCATCATGTTGCACATATGCACAAGTATTCGTTTGATGATCAGATTCAAGGTGGCTGAATGGTTGCCATTTTAGTGTTGAACAAGTTTTGTTTACGATTGAACCAACAGGGACTTTATCATACCATGAAAAGATTATGGTACATTGTCTTAAAATAATTTAGTTTTATTACACTGAACTGCCATGATATGTATGAGAATATTTGTGGAAGCATTCCCTATGTAATCTGATCAGGCTTTTAATTAACCTGTGAATATTATGTATTTATTTACTTATTGACTCTTACACAATCCCCGGAGGGAAAGAAAATGGTCACAAAGTACAAGGAGAAATATATATATAAAAAAACACAACAAAAACACAATATACTAAATAACAAATACAATCACTAAATTACTAAATAATACAAAATCTCTAAAATACAATCTAATATAAAATTACAAAATTGACAGCAGGCATTAAGATGTCAAGTAAGACCCTGCTTCCTGACTTCAAAGCTTTTACTTATGAACTGTGCTACTGATATAATAATGTTTTCATTCTGTAACAATTCCATGAATTTTTTCAAATGCTGGGATCATATCCTTAGCTTTATTGAACAGTTTGGCACGCAACTCATTATATTTGTTGCATTCCAGCAGAAAATGCATTTCATCCTCAATTAGACCTTTGTTACACATGTCACAAACCCTGTTGTTTAATGGGATTTTTAATGGGATTTTTTTATGACGACCCAATTCAATTTTGAGACTATGGTCACTAAGACGAAATTTGGTAAGCACACTACGTAGTCCAAAGTTTTTTAGCTTGACTAAATATGGCTCAAGTTTTAAATCTGATTTGATTAGCCAATATGTTCTTAGTTTGTTTTTCTCATTTGCTTTGGTGCGGTTATCATTATGTACCTCACCTTTCCATCTTGTTAGAAATAAATCCTTGATGCCCAAATGTATAGTGTAAAATGTTTGACTAATATAAACACTTTTCTACTTCCAGTAGGTGGTTTCATACTTGTGTTGATTTAGAAGATATATTGCTAGCTGATTCTCGACTTCCAAGTGAATTCACTTTTTATATTTTATCAATAACTTTGAAAGGTGAATTGGAAGAAGATTTCTACATCGATAACGTGTTCATTGGTGCTGGTCATGTAAGCTGTGAGTACCGAGTTATAATTATTATAACTCCTCCAATGCCATATGTCTTCCTCCAAAAAAATCTCAATTTTTATTTATTTTTGTATAATTGCTTTGTTAATTTTGGTGCAAATGAATATTGGTCTTGATTCAATCATTTGAGAAATTATAGGAAAAATTATGTAGGTCAACTTTGCATTGAGAAGATTAAAAAACACCATTCTGCTGGGTAAACCATGAAATACGAGTGAGTCAGCTTTTGTATACCCTGCATTTTTTGGTATTTAGAGCACTGAATTCAACTTTGGTTATTTTCATAAGAAAATAATTTGTTCAATAACTAGCTAATTTTCAGCTCATACAGAAGTATCAAGAGCCATTCAAAAAATTTGATGATACTGCCTCCCTAATGGAAGCCCCACACATTCTTTATAAAAATTTAGCACCACAAATTCTCCGTTTCTCATATGTGTAGATGCTCTAATAGATACTTGTAATACAGATTTTACAGTACATGATAAATTTAACATTGAATTCTGTGCATATGAAATTTGAATAAAATTTTATTTTACCAAAAAAAAGAACATTTAATATTTGTATTAAATATTAATGCAAGATGACTTGCAACTTTGCAAATGACTTTTTTTGTCCAATCAGAAATGAGCAAACCAAAAACATTCTGAAATGAGCATGAATCAATTCTACCACATACGGTACTCACTAATTTTATGTTAGGATTTTTTGTGATTTTGCTACCACATAACACATTGCTCATGATTTCTTCAATTTTGTGTGTTTTTCATCACATGTCACTCACTTGCATACCCTAATCTTATAAATACTTGATTGAGGTCTACCTTGATTGATAGCCTCTGAGATCATGTTGAGTGTAAGAAAGCCATAAGACTTGTTTTCTCAATAAGTGTTCCATTCACTGTTCATTGTGTCCAATTTTCCAAATACCATGGTCATATGATCTAGCAACCATTGACATTTAAGGTCTATTGGTGATGTTCCCTTGTCTTGTAAGTGAAACAATCAATATAAACTATTATTATACATCTGTCACCGTAACGCCATAGGTTACAGCGTGTCGTAATTTTACGGGGTATTTTCATCCTACCATATTAGGAAATGCGAATTCCAAATATGGAATTATTACGTGCGTAAGCGTCCTCTAATAATAAAAACAAACATGGCTGCCACCAGAATTCAACCGGACTCCATACAAAGAAGTTCGCTGATTCTGTTCTAAACTTTTTAGAT